ATTTTTTTTTGTAATGTACAGCAGTGGCGCCGAACTCTATATTGAGGTCGGGCCTTGGCCCGACATCTTTTGAAAATTTAGTATGGGGCCGTTTTCAGAAACAAACAAAATCGTCTCTAATCCGTCTTAGTTGGTGGGGATTACAAAAAAGTGTGATTTAAATTTTCTTTTAAAACTGAACATCAATAATTTTTAGGTAAAAACTAATACCTCCTCGGTCCTCCACCCTTTCATGTACGCCATTGGGGCTGATATTTAAATATTGGGGCCGTTTCAAATATTTTTTGCCCGACTAAATTTTTAGGACTTCGGCGCCACTGATGTACAGTGTACACATTGATCTATGAGGAATAAAACCATTTGTTTACTTTACTTACATTCCAAATAATGTTCCTCCTAAGTGAGCTGCATGGTCGAACATTTGCCACTTCATAATCAATCCCATTATGTCTAGCGATATTATACCAAATAAAGCCTTAAATCAACATATGAATGTTATATTTCAATTTGGTAAGATAAGTGATTTTATAAATAAAGTTCAATTAAGCTATGCATGTTTAATATTTAATATTTGAATCAATATTTTTTTCATAAAATAATTATGCTACACAATATTTTGTGAATCTAATTAATTGTCAAGGATTTTTTTGATACAGTAAATAAAAAATCAATTCAAAATTGAGGGGGATCACGTAATGGTGGTGGGGGGGATGAAGTATTTTTCACTGACAATAATTCAAATCTATACAAAAATATTAAAACCAAAATAAATTATGGTCAAATGTAATTAAATATAATATGACTTACATGAATTGCATCAAATTGTATATTTGGTAAAAATATTATACCCAACTTTTGGTCAGGATTCGATAATGAAAAGTATCCAACAACCGATAATATAGCACCAGACTGGAAACACAATAAGACTATTAAAACTATTCTCATGTTCTTATTAGTTGTAAAATTAAGAGTATACATACAGCGCCTAAGCTATTTCCTTGAAACTTAAAGCTTCGTCTAAAAATAATACTAGCTAATGATGAAACAACACAACCACTTATATACATTGCACTGAATTCTTCCGGTCCCATATCACCCCATGGTTGGATCACACCTTGGTCATAAAATGTAAGGTTACAATAAATAAAATATTTGATATTTAACATTTACCTCGGCAAAATGTATGAAGAGCGTACATATTGAAACAAAAGTGTATTGGAGAACTGTGACTGAACGCACTCAGAAGAAGTGATGACACTGGAATTTTTCCTAAAATAAGTTTTGTAGACTTATAGTTAATGTATACTAAGTTATGTGAATCCGTCAACAAGCTTTAATCATAATTTAAATTAAATTGATTGCTTAAAATTGAATAAACTTACTAGCAAGTGCATCAGTCATAAAATATTTAATCATGATATGTTGCCATCTAGGTACTTGCCATGCAAGAAAAACAATGGCATTTAATAGAAGTATGGTACCAAATACTTTCTCTGATGGTTCTAATTTATTGAAATTATTTTTTAACTTGGAAATAACATTCTAGAAACAAATTAAAAAATAATATTATATACAGATACAATAAATGAATAAAATATATTATTAAAAAGTAGTTTTGTATTTATAAGTTTAAGGCATAAACTGCATGGTTATAAGCCTGTTTTTTCTGTGTGTGTCTGTGTGTGGGGGGGGGAGGAGTACGGTTGGTCGAAATATTCTATATGTGGCGATAAATTATGAGATCTGAGATATATTTAATATTTTAATATACTACAAATTTGAACTATAAATCATAAAACTAATTTGTAAATAAAAGTTATTAACTATTGTTTGAGCATAGACTAATTGTTTTGAGAGGACGTCGTACCAGTATGGGTTGTCTCCGTCTTACACACATACAACAGAAAATGTTCGTCACCAGTTTCAATACTGCACCGTTAGTTTTGATATTAGAGTGAATTGATTTTATACAATTTAAAGGTAAAATTATTATCTAAGGCCCCCACTTAAACTTTTACTGATATTATTATTTTTAAGTAAGTTATGACCTTTTTGAAACTCTAAATTTTAAGATGATCATACCTTATGTAAAAATATTAATATCAATAAAAGCTAAGTGGGGCTTTTATTAATCTTACCTTTAAATTTTATAATGGATAAATTCACTCTAATATCAAAACTATTGAAACTGGTGAGCGAAATTTGCTAAGTTGTACGCGAGTAAGACGTAGACAACACATGCAGGTACGACGTCTTCTTAACATAATATACCATTAATTTAACCCGTCATTGGTATCGTGGTAAGAGCGGCGCTTACCTTGTTAGTATTTTGAAAACCACTCGTTTACTTATTAATTGATTCATCTGATACTATTTATACTTTCAATCGACCCATATCTAAACATGCGTTTGTAAATATAATAATTTTATAAATATTTCTTGACATGCGATGCTATTAATATCCATAAAGTGAGAGTTGCATTCACTCAATAGATCGACATAATATTTTTTTGTAAATGTAGACCCATTTGTAAGGAGTACACAACATCCATATGCCTACTGTGTAATCATGGACATACTCACAGGGGGTAGGGTCATGGGGTTCAAACCCTCCCCCACATTGGCCTTATTTTTATGAACTCCATTAGCCCCCGTATATATGTTCCTAGAAATAACCTACCCCCTCCCCCAATTGAAAATTACTGAGAACGCTACTGTGTGTAATAAACAGCATAATATGTCAGACCACTAGGGCCAAGATGAATGATAATGATAATATTATATATTATATAATTTTATTATGTATAAAAAGTTATAAAATTAATTTTTATTGATTTACAATTTATAATTAAGAAAAATTGTAAGAATATTTTTTGTAAAAGATTAAAATATAAAAAATTTGGTGTTGGTTTCAATATTTTATGTTTATTATATAATAAATAATGATGAAAAATCAAAGAGGCGATGCTCATTCAATACCAATGGCTGGACTTTGCATAGCGATACCAACGATGGGGTAAATAGTTAAAATAAATAGTAAAAATGTTCACCTCGTTTTTTCTGTAGATAGAATTTTTGTAAAATTCAAAAGCATTGATTTGTTTAACACTATCACGAAGTCGCTCATATTGAATAACTGATGCCAACATTACAGACCCAGTACAGACCTTAAAGAAGAAAATATTTAATTGGAAATAAAGTTTTAATAAATGTTTATATTAACTTATTACAGATATACAAAATAAGGAAGGTCCTAAAAGAGAATTGGATTGACTTTGAAATCTCTTTAAATTATGATTTGGCTGATTAAATGCTCTTCTTGCAAGGAGAGTATTAGCAGGCACAGATAATTTCCGTAGCTGAACAGTTGACTTTATGCTAAAAAAAAAAAAAAACAATATTAAATTCGGTAACATATAAAAGTTAATTTGTAGTATATCAGTAGAAACAAAAATAGCAAAATGCCATCAGTTAGGATACTGATATTACTTCTATTCTTTTTCTAAAGTAGTTTTACCTGCACAGTTTACTAAGAAGGCAACTCATTTTTAAAAAAAAAACTGAAATAATGTAATAAAAAATTTACAAATTACCAGGCTTGACAATGATTTTAAATGTTTACATTTTACATAATTATGGTTTTTATATACTTTATAAACATTATTGTATTGCAATTGAAAAATATTAAAATTAAAAATTAACAATTGAAAAATCGGAAATCAGATGTCAGAAGAAGAACACTATAATAATTAATAGTAGTATTAATAGTACTTATATAAACTATGGTCAGTACTCAGTAGCACGATTATAATATTATATCTTAAATTCAGAATTTTTATATTGATTCAAAATTCATAATGCATGCTTTATCATTTATCAGTATTGTCAGTATCACATAATTATCGACACCTCCAAAACGCTACCAGTGTACACTAGTGCAGTCAGATGGAAAATGCTATTAGATAAATCAAAGATGACTCATAAAAATAATTTTAAATATGTTTCAGAAGGTGGTGTTCGTTATAGTAAAATAACATTATGTTTACTTTATTTTATTTGCAAAGATCGTCGGCCATTTTCAGTCATTGAAGGTGAAGGATTTAAACGGTTGTTAAATGAATTGGTACCTACTTCTAGCCGACCTAACCGAAGAAGAATGGTTTTAAATATTTTTTTATTAGATTTTTTTTTTATTAATGACTGATCAATGATCTTTATTTGTGAAATTATTTATACATTAAAATTGAATGACCTATTTTTTTATTAATGACCAATTATATAATTTATTTATAAATTCTATGATATTATTATTTAATATGCAATGTAATGCAATACAAGAACGATAATTAAATTAAGAAAATTATACCGATTGACCATTGCTATACATTTTTTTTTCATTCGATACTTACTCATATCGATAAAATTGTTTCGATATTTTACTAATATCGATATTTGTTTTCGATACTAGTACCAAGTAAAAGTATCGATACTTCCTTTCGATATCCCATCCCTATAAATTCTTAAATCATAAATTTCATCTATTCTGTGTTTAGATCATAATATTTTATTATTATCTAAGGTAGTCGGTTACTGACATTGATAACAATATTTATCCTATGATTTATCCCTTATTTATCTCAATTCTCAATGACTAAATGTTGGTAAACCTGTTTGTTGTTGGTGAACAATACCTTAAGCGCGGTATAACATGGTATAACTATAACCGTATCGTTTATAACGTATATTGACTGATATGATTATTACGTTTATTATAGTACGAAATGCTCGAATAGTTTAATGCTTACAGCTTAATGGTTAATGCACTATTTTATTATTAATAATTAATATTTATAGTTGGAAAGAATAATTGACATTTAGTTGTGACAGTCAACAACTGAGGTTAGTTGATTGATATTATAATTTATCATTGTACATTTTTTTATTCACCCTGCAAACATGCTTGACTGACCTGTGTTTCATTGCAATTGTGTTTCCAGACTATGTTGGGTGGAGGTTTGTTTTCCAATAAACCAGTGGCTGCGCCCACAAACCCTAATAAAGATTTCGAAGTCACACAGCCTCCTGATGATACCGTTTCGGCAATGGCGTTCAGTCCGGCCACGATGCAGCAAAACTTCCTCATTGCTGGTAGTTGGGATAACAGTGTAAGATGGGCAAACAATCATAGAGTGTTGTTGGGACTAGTGATTTTTTTTTATTTTAATCTAGGTGCGTTGTTGGGAAGTTGAACAGAGCGGCAAGACTGTGCCAAAATCCATGCAGTCAATGACAATGCCAATTTTAGACGTATGTTGGAGTGATGACGGCACAAAAGTTTTCATGGCATCTTGTGACAAACAAGTAAAATGCTGGGATTTAGGAAGTAATCAAACAGTGCAAGTAGCAGCTCACGATGCACCCATAAAGACTTGTCATTGGGTCAAAGCGCCATCTTATACTTGTATTATGACAGGTTCATGGGATAAAACATTAAAGGTGTGTCAGATGTTTTTTTTATATAACATACAAATATTTCTGAGGTTGTGTTTGATGATTACTTATATGTAAAGTCCACATTTATATTCTCTTAAAAGCCCTAAATTATGATGGAAATATTCTCTAAAAGTTAGTAAAACACCTACAAATATTCTACTTAAATTCTCTGAAAAATTAGAAAAAATATGCAAAAAGAATCAATAAACCTCATTATATTCTTAAATATGGAGTATTTTTCAGTTTTTTTTTTTAACAAAAGTCCTGTATAGACTTTCATATTTTAATAATTGCACTATAGTAATAGTTAATATATTGTGTTTTGTGTTAAAATATGCCATCTATTGTTTTAAAAGGTATTTAATTTAAAATTAATGGATATTTTTATTTTATTAATTTAAATAATTTAAAAACACTTTATCATAAAACCAAAATATATTTGGACTTTAGATATTCATATAGGTACGTTTTTTTTATCAGTTTAGCTTTGGTAAATAAATTCATTACAGTACTGTAGCTAAATTACTAAGGCCTATGACTGTGTCATAATAGTAATAGTACTTATATTGTTGCTATCCTGTGCTTTTTTTTTATCAAAATTATATAATAAAAATAATTATGGTTTGTAAAATATTTTTTTCATTTACCGTAAAATTAAAATAAATAACAATAATTTAAAAAATAAAATAAATTAGTATTTATTTCTCATAATTTACAAAATATTCCGAAATATGTTAAATAATCTAAAAATTAACCCACAACCTAACCTAACCAATGAAATATTCTCAAATGTGCAAAAATAACTTTTTCTTATGATAAATATTAAAGAAAAATCATTATTAGCAACATTAATTTGAATTAGATATATTTTTAGACTTTAGTAATTAACTAATTGTTTGATAAATGATTTAAAATGCTTATTAAATATAAATATTAGATTATACTTCAAATATTATATTATTTTGTTTCTTTTTTATTCAATAGTTTTGGGATGTTAGAAGTCCAGTTCCCATGATGACCATTAATCTACCTGAGAGAGCTTATTGTGCTGATGTGGTAAGTTGATAACATTACATTTTATTAAAATATAAATTATTAGCTTACTATTCAAATAAAATAATTAATTTTGTCTTGTATTTAATTTTTTTTTTTTTAACCATAATTGTCCAAATACTATCATTATTTGTTTTATTGTTTAGGATTATCCTATGGCAGTTGTTGGTACAGCATCAAGAGGCATAGTTGTTTATAAACTAGAAGGAAAACCTGAAATGGTAAAATCTGTAGACTCTCCTCTTAAATATCAACATCGTTGTGTTGCAATTTTCAGAGATAAGAAAAAACAATCCCCTACTGGTTAGTAATATAATAAAAAATAGATGTATATTCACATAAAAGTATTTGAATGTATGGTTTTTTAATTTAGGATTTGGTTTGGGAAGTGTTGAAGGACGTGTTGCTATTCACTACATACAACCACAGAGTTCAAAAGACAACTTTACATTCAAATGTCATCGTCAAAATAACTCAGGAACTATGAATGTCCAAGACATTTATGCTGTAAGCATTTGTAAACATAAACTATTTCTTATTTCTATATTACTTACTTGATATTTTAACAGGTGAATGATATCAAGTTCCATCCAGTCCATGGTACATTAGCAACTGTGGGTTCAGATGCAACATTCGCATATTGGGATAAAGATGCGCGCACAAAGTTGAAGTCATCTGAGACGCTTGACCAACCAATAACAAAATGCTGTTTTAATAGCAACGGTCAAATATTTGCTTACAGTACTGGATATGACTGGTCAAAAGTAAGTAAATTAATTACTAAGGTTACTATAGCGTTACTTAATATTTGTTGAAACTATGATACTTTTTAAGAAATCAATGAGATAAAACATAATATAATCATGGCATTTTAAAGTTATTATTTTTGAAAACCTTAACTTTCTTCGTAAGTTAATAAGTAACTTATACTGAAAAAAAATATGTTGAACTTACTAATTGTGTTGCACACATTAATTAATCTACTATATTCAAATTATTGAAATATTGTATTATAATAATAATAATAATGATCTTAATTCCAACAACAGAATTATTATTATTTGATAGTCTTAACTTTCTTATAATTTTAATGGTTTTGTATATTTATTGGTTTTTCCTATTTTAATTGTGTTGTATAATTCAAAGAAATATATAAATATAAATTAAGTAATTTAAAGAAAAAAATTGAAATTACATTATTCATTTTAATTTGAAGTTAGAAAAGTAAATTTATATTTTGATGATTGGTATAACATTTGAATTCATAATAGAGTTGGAAACCAAATTATATTAAGTATTTTAAATCGATTATTGAACAATAATAATAAAAAAAGAACTTACTTCTATTTTTAATGATACATTTTTGTTTAATTTCCAGGGTCACGAGTATAATAATCCAGCTAAAAAACCACAGATTTTCTTAAAACCATGCTTCGAGGATTTAAAACCAAAAAGTAGTAATTAGATTAACTGTTTATTTTTCAAAATGTGTTGATAATTATAATTTATTTAAAATAAATGTAATACAGTATTGTTTTTTATCAATATTGTAAAGATAAAAATGTTGTATAATAATAACTGAAATTTAAATATTATGTTTAATTACATTTTTACATTCAATGTTTAATTTTCATTACTGACTACTGTATATATTTTTTACTTGCTTCTAGTAAATTGTCTTACAAAAACAAATTACTATTTCTTAAAAGTATTTAGCTTTATTGCTTTACACTTAATTGTAAAGCAATAAATCATGTTTAGTTGTATACTAAAAATGTGTTTGAAATTCAAATAACATAAAAATATTAGACATTAATATATTACAGAGTACTTACAGAGAATATTTTTATTTTTTGGTTCTCAGCTTAGTAAAAATGTGTTTGGACTTTGGGAAATTAATAGTTATTATTATGATGTGTATATTGTGTAATATACATAAAAAAAATTACAATAAATTGAAAACAAAATTATTTAATCATGGAAAATATTATAAAAAGAATTTTTTTAGAAAAAATATCTATTAATATTTACAATAAGAATTTGTGATAGCCGATAGGTAGCATGTCTATATATATTTAATGGGCAGGATAAAATTCTCTTGAGGTGAATCCTCTCCTTAGAGCTACTCTGTAATCCTTTAAAAAGTATAATTAATAATAATATATTTTTTTTTTTATTTTAAATAGAACTTTTACAATCTATACAATAAGGTATAATGAGTAAGTGTGTTGAACATTAGACATAAGATAATAACGTAATACTAAGGCTCCCAGCAGTGCCACCTGACTAGAAATAATAATATTATAAAACAAAAACAATTAATTGTCAAATTATAGTCAAAAAAATTTTGTTGATAATTTTCACACATGAATATAATAATATATGATGACATAGCATTGTCATTCCATGAAATTTATAATAGTTGGCATAATTTTCCAAACTGTAAAAGTGTACAACCAAAATGTATTGCTCAAACAACTCCTCTGCTGTCGGTTCAAAGTGGAAATATAAGAAGCAGGTACATATAATATTATATAGATATTATAAGTTTATATTGATATTATGTTATAGGCCATAGGAGTCTATTGAGCTAGAATTTTGTAGCAAAATGAACAATATCGACCTGTCAGTTGAAAATGTATTCACCAAACTATAGGTATCTATTAATTTTAATTTTAACGTAAAATGTATATTAGATTTCATTCATTTTTCCAATAAAAATATTGACACAAATGTGTTTTTCTTTTTCCGTGTTGTGTTGTTTAAAGTTGTTTACATTCTGCTTCTAGGTTAATTGATATTTTTGAGCAACACTTTATTTACTTGCTTCCTATAAAATATTTTTTTATATTTTACTGAATTAAGTACCTAATATTTGTTATTGGGCTACTAATAAATTAATGTAATATACATTTTTAAACGGTTAATTTAATATCGGTTATTGCCTGTTGGGTAAATACAACCAGCCACGTAGTTATTAATAATACTCTAATGAAAAAAAAAATAAAAATTTGTAAAAGTTTATCACAAAAGCATCTAAAAAACGTTATTGCTTTTCGAGAAAATGAGTAATGATTACATTTAAAATAACAACAAGAATCAATATTTTATCTATTATCTTCTAACAACGTATCAGTGTTACTCTTATCGCAGTGTCGTGTGAAGACAGCAGGCTTGAATGTCCTAAACATCACATGATTGAAGGGGCTTACGAAGTTTTTTGGAAAATCGTGTTTTATTTTACGGACGGCATCGTTATTAAATACATATTGTACCAAATATTAAAAATTAGTCGGTTTAATTACTTAGGCTAATTATATTTTTATTATAATTTATAATTATAGTACCTAATAAATATAATTCCCAATGATATAATACACATCAGTCGATAACGACGAAATCATTGAACGTAACACAGGTAAAGGAGTTAAACGTTTGTAAAATTTGTTAGGAAAAGGTTTAGACGCCTTTATCCACTCAACCCTTCAGCTGTAGTATTATTATTGAGAATAAAATAATTATGATAATATTTATTTTCAACTTACAGCTGCAGATGAATTATTGTAACGCGGCGTTGTGAATAGGCAATTTGGGTACACCCAAGTTGTGATGAAGTTTATCAATCGTCTACACGAGAGGAAACACGTCCCATGGCATGGCGGTATGACGATCTAAGAATAATATAAAATATTATTAATATTTACAACGTTGTACAGGTACTATTTTAATATGTGTGGTGAATACTTAATATTGTAGACCGTCAATGTGCATTGAATGCACTACTTCCGGATTTTACAAAGGCCAATGGGGATCAACATATAATGTATTATGTGAATTGTGAATACAACTTTATATAAATGTACACAGGAAATTCCAATTCCCCCGAACACATTAGTTTCAAATACCGAACCCGGGGCGTGATGTATGATAAAGCAATGAGAGTATGCATTTACCGCCAACACGAATACCTACGCCCCCGTTTCAAAAAAGCTGAGCACGCCAATGTTCCAAACAATAACCATACCAGATAAACCAGTTCGATTAGTTCGAAAAGACACTACTTTGGTATCGTGATCTGTCAAATAATTAACAATCAAAAATTAACCTAAGTATTAATAACTAATAAGTTATGTATTAACTGCGTATGTATACTGTGACTTGTTAGGTTCTATCATTGGATATCATTTCTGTTACTTTATTTTCTGTCAACTACAACTTATACTCTGATAATAATATAATATACAGTGAGTTCCGCTTAATGTGATCACTTTGGTGCAGGTCATTTTGATTCTATTAACCGGTTGATTCTAAAAAGCATTTACAACAATGTTCAACAATTTCCTTACGATTTTTTAAAATTTTGTTTAACGTTGGTTGAGGAATTTTCAGAGCTATTGCGGCTTCTCTTTGAGAACATTTATCCAATTTATCGAAACGAACGAGTATATTTTTTTTCTTTTATAGTTAAATCATTTCGTTTGGTCGACATTTCAAAAAATACGTCTGATCATGAACAATAAACCGAATAAACTAAATGACACAAGTACGCGACGCCGCGACATACAAAGACAATTGATTGACATAATGTACAACGATATACATACAGTAATACTGATAAATTCAAAAATAAAATGGTTTTTTATAAATTAATCAGTTTGAGATACCATAAAAACGATAAGATTGTTCATAAAAGTGATTCAATTATCCGGTACTTAGTGATTCTAATAAAAGGTCAATTTAACACTAGTAGCATACAATTTGGTTTGGGATTTTCATTTTTGATTCTAATAAACGGTTGATTCTATAAACCAGTGAGCACATTAAGCAGAACTCACTGTATTAATATGTATTACTTGTACCTACTACGTTATATTTTCTGGTTTGTTTATACGCTTTTAATTTTGATCAAAATGTGTTTATTGTTCATTGGAATACATCATGGTAAATATTCTGCACAATATATTATATTCTATGTTAAGAATTGAGATTATTTTATGGAAATACATTTTTTTTTAAAATCGTTGCTACTTTTCGAGATAATTTAGCTTTTACTGTGAAGACAATCGCTCTTCATAGATGCAGCTACAACAACGCTAACTCCATCAATCGAGCCAATACCATATTATAGGAATTGTTATATTATACAGCGAAACCTCCCCTAATAGATAGGTACCTCTAAATAACGGACACCTCCGAATAGCAGACAACAATCCAGAGACCTAGTGTGTCCGGTATTTAGAGATGTGTGTGTGTGTGTGTGTGTGTGTGTGTGTGTGCGCGCACTCGAGCTTATTTGTGCACACATGGATATATAACACCGATCAGTGTTTCAAACAGCTTTTACAATTTATCGAAATTTAAAAATATTTAAATATTTAAATTACTAGGTATAACAATTAATCTACAACATTATCGGAATACTCCCATTATTATGTGTTTTGGCGTGAACTTTGAACAAAAAAATCCCTAATTAAAAAAAGTCGCTCTGCTGTACAGTAGGTTACAAGTGGGTCACATGTAATGTGTAATGGATGGAGTTAAATTTGAATTCAATGTTAGAATATCATTGTAAAAGAAAAACGATTCTGAGTGAAACGGTCAGTCAGCCTACGGTATTAGTATATTTTTAATATATTTAGTTATTTAGTATATTTGATGATATTATTGTGAATAAAATAATTTAATACCGTAAATACGTGGAACCTTGTTTTAAATTTTCAATCTCTAGCTATAAAAGTTTAAGTTTTTATAAATTATTAACTAGGTACAAAATAATTGTTAAATATTGTCGAAATTCGAACTTTAAATGCTTATAAAAAAAATTGTACCTATACATTTTTAATATTTTTCAACTGCTATTGTAACAATATATCAGGAGCTTTGGATTCAATTTTCACACTTTTTTACCTAAAAAATTTTATTGATATTTATAGAAAAAAAACTAAAACAATTGAAAACTGAAAATGTCCGTAAACAGCCCAAAAAGAGTGAAAATATTTTCAAAATTGTATGGTTTATAGAAAATGCTAATATAAACATTCAGTTAAATTTTCAAGTATCTAAAGTCATTCGTTTTTACAACAAAATAAGAAAATCCGAAATCGTTACATGAGAAATCGAGTGAATATCAAATATTGTAAAAATATAAATTTCAAACGCTCATAACAATTTAATTTGACTTTCTTCTAGAAATTTTTTTTTGATAAAGGTAGACAAACTTATGAGGAATCTTGTATTATATTTTAAAATCTTAGATTTAAAAATAAATTTTTTTATGAATTTCTAACTCAAAATAATTTGCAAATTTTCGTGAGTTTTACGAATTTTGTCAATATTTGAACTTTAAATGAACTTTGGATTTTTAATTTTTTCATCTGCCTTTGAAACAATATACAAGGAGCCTTCTATTAAATTTTCAAACCTTTTTAACTTACAAATAAAATTTTATTGATATTTATAGAAAAA